GTTCATTCTTTTTTTGTTTAAAAGTCTATGAAGGAGTGCTTTCATCGAAGTAGAATTGTTACATATCATACGATATTAGTGACTAAGTCACCTAATTATTTGTTTGACTTAATATCTTCTTCAACAAACACTTCAGTTCTTACTGATAATTATAATACTCGTAGTCAACAAAATGATCAGCACTGGCAGCCACCTCCCAGAATAAAAATATTTAGAGAATCATTTTTTTACCAAGCTCGTATTGATTGGCAACAATTACCGTTTAGTACACGTAGTATAATGAAGCTGAATTCTTTTAAAAAGAAAATTAAAGCATTGATCAAGAAAAGATTCCCCATTGTAAATAATCGCTTAGATGAAATATATTTTTGTCGATGTCGAGTTGATCGAACTCAACTAAGGCATGATTTGTACATTAGCAATCTCACTGCTGACCCGTACTGTATATGTAGTGCCAGTAAAATATGAAGATATGATAGAGATATATCATTCTGTTTTAAAGTTTATATCTATGACTAATCGCTTTAAGCAGCCTGGATTCTCATCTGTCACGCATCAACATTAAATTCGTTTAAGTGGGTGCTACATGTCATGAGAATAAATTGAGCTCTAGTTCTAGGTTGAGCATCATTAGCTTCAATAAAACCATTGTAACCAATAGTGCAAGTGTAATGTCTCTAAGGATAAGACTTCTATTCTTTTTTATTTATTTATTTCTCTTTTGTTATGTTTTACGTTCTTATGTTTACATGTGTGCGTTTCTGTGTATAGTACTAAAGTGGGTTTTAACCCTTTGTGCTCAGGTTTATACTTTCTTTTTAATAAAGGTTTAATAAAGGTTTAAAAAATAAAAAAACTTTCCTAATCTACACCTAAACATTAATCTTTTGTAAATCTTCAACATCTGTTTCCTTTAAAATTTTCGGACAAGCAGATTTCAGATAAGCTTCACCAGCTGAGAATGTGTTCGTTAGTAAGCCATACTGACATGCTAATCGAAACGTTACAGAATTATTTTTGGATTTTCAACAATCAAACATGGCAACAGCTAAGCGTCTGTATTAGTACGATCGGCTTCATGTATTTTAACATCAGCACAATCATTTACATTCAGTTAAACAGCAGGTACGTATTCAATGGTTAATAACCAGTTGTATGAACGGATTGATGGTGTGAGCATTGGTGGACCCTAGCACGTGTAATGGGTGAATATATATATTATATTCATAATCCAGCTTGAGGAATCCCTACATGATGATTTATATAGAAAAAGAATAGCTTGAGATTCTAGCGAAGACATGTGATGATATATTCATACTAACAGAATCAAATGCTTCCGTTGATAATATTTTGTTGTTGTTAAACGGGTTTCTTCGATAAACACAAACTCGGTTAGCTCGAGATTATCAATAAAAACAAAGTTAAAAATACGTCAGAGGATAGTAAAAATAAGAACATGTCGTATTCTCGGCTTTACATCTTCAGCCTTAAGAAGAGCCGTATTCTAGTGTTACATTCTGCCACACCATACGTGGTTGTTCTGTTCGTTTCCTCTTTTTCCAGAATAATATATTCGGAAAAAATGTTTTCTCCTGCAAACATTTATGTTTTCTTGAAAAGCATCAGAGATGGCTAACCAATGATAATTATAGCTGAAAGAATAGGTCAAATAGTTGACGTCTGTTCTATGGTAGGCGTGAGAATTGACTCTTGTGCTTATGACGGGGTCATCAACATTGTCTAGTATTGACAATGTTGATACCCAGTAGAGATTTTTGAGATGTACAATGTAATCAACGATAGAGAATTTGAAAAGGTGGAGTCCGCATAAGACGTGAGATCGACCCACTAACTTTAGCCCTAAAATCTTTTCCGATGTCAACGTCGGAAATACTAATTACCACTTAAGACAATCTTGATTGATTCTACCTCATATTTAATTTTATTTTTATTTGGAGTATAGAAATGAGAGATAATGTATCTCTATTGAGAAACGCAATTTCTTGCCAAAATATTCGTTTCTCAAAAGAGATACATTGTAAAATATGGAGCTGTATCTTTTCTGAGAAGCTTCAGATAAATGGCATACCCAATCTTATATTAAGGACATGTATCATAGTAATAAAGCACATGTATCATAGGAGTATTTCATGCATGAATAACTATAAATAAATGTCATATTTCATCTAATAATAGTAAATCTCTAACGTCAAATCCTCTTTTCAGAGAATATAATACATCACTTCCCAGGTCAAAAACTCACGACCGTATACTATAGTATTTCGTTGTAGTTTGACGTAAACTCGGTCAACGTATTACGTCAATCATAAACCATGTCATTTACGCTAAATACGACGAAATACGATAGTATACGTCAAATTACGTATACGACGGTCCTAATCATGGACCTAGGTTATCCAAAGGGAGTATTCTGCTTTTATTGTTGCTGAACTAAATCAAAATTTATTTTTACTAATAAAAAAAAGGATTATTATACACATTTGAACATAAATATGTTCATCTAATTTCTATGTTTTACATTTATTTACATTTTTTTCAAACATGTCACATGTACGAGGACTATCTAACAATTTTTGCGTTGTATATATAATTTCTCGCCCTTTTCTCACTGATAAATCATCTGTTCCATAATTCTTGACAATTTGATTTTGACGAAAATCTTGAATCACTTTTGGATTTAATTTTTCTAACTCAATAGTTTGCCGATAGATTTCATGAATTCCATGTTTTGTTGCATTTTGGATGTACTCATTTAATGGATTTGGTAACGATGTACCTAAAATTTCAGGAAATAACTACTAAAAGTTTCAAAAGGCTTTTCTCATTTATGTAGTGTCTCGATGAAGAACGCATTACTTTTTTTCCATACTATAAATTGGCGACTTTGTTTTAGCGTTTTTACCTAATTGTTCTAAAATTGATTTCCATTTATCAGATAATTTTTTATCCGTATTTTCTCGAAATGCTTCTTCTTTTGTACACTGGGGTTTCACTTGAAAGTCTTTAATATTACAAATATAACGTTTTGATATATGATCGAGATAACTTTCAGCATGTTTAATGAATTGTTTAAGTTGTCGAATACCAAATAGTTCAGGTTTAATATAAATTCGATTACCATAATAGGGCGACGAGACGTTCTCTGTTAACGGTTTCATTTCACCAAACAAAATATGACCAAAACCACTTGGCATACCTGAATGAAACAAAATTAATCTCATACTTTATACAAAGAGTGAACAAAACTAACATGCTCCTGGAACATCGGCACCGTACGCAGGATATTCATATCGTCGCACATCTTTCGATCCACGTTCGTCATGAAAATGAGATGATTCATCACCTCGAACATAGATGAACGTATCCGATACTGTTAAATTGTTACCATCAGTCTTTTGTCCTTTATTTGTTAATTTTTGAAAGAAACCCTGAAGCGCTTTGCGTGACATATGTTTCACACGTTTAAAATAGCCACTGTATTTTTCATCATCACCAGATATTTGAGCGTCTTTTGCCTCCATAAAACGTTTGAAAACATTCTTCGATGAATCATAGATAACAAACATACCTGAAATAAATTGACAAAAAATTCGTATTTGAATCTAATTGAATAGTTAATTCTAAAAGACGCTACATTTACCTTTGGTAAAACTAACTAGTTTATCATTTAGTTTTGCTTGTTGCATTAGAAAATGAATAAGATTACACATAGTATCAGCGTTAACATCTTTCGAGGATTGTGGATCTTCGACTAAACGTTTAAAAAAAGCTGCACCTAGATTTGATCTTTTTGTGGCAACATTTAATTTTGCTGGTATACAACAATCGGGAGGTGAACGCTTCATCACGTGATGATTGAATAAATGGTGATCAGCTAGAGGCACTAATACTAACAAGATTCCAACTGAAATGTAATGCATTTCTACCGCTGTTGATTATCTAAATTATACAAACTCCACTTATTCTGTTGTCTATCTATATACATATATCTATCTAAATACACAAAACATGCAGTGTGTTTTTTTCCCTTTCATTACGGGTATATTAAAATACATGTGTCCGTCACTTTTATCAGGGTAAAAGAGAAAACAAACATACATATACACAGACTGTTCTTTCGACTAATTACTATCGCCACGAAAGAGTTTATATTAAGCAAAATCATTTTTTTCAAGAGAAAGATACAATCCCACTTATATATACATACTACTATCAGACCTGCCAACTCTAAAATTCCAAAAAGTGAAAAGCAAATTTTTCTACTTCGAGCGTGTATCTCAAACTTTTTTAGTGCCAAAACAATTCTTTGTCAACATATGTATTTAACATATCCATATTACAGTAGAAAAAAATCTATTTATTTTCAGCAACACCGGCCGACAAAAGATAAAAACTACTGAACACGTTATTTTTTGAATTAATACTTCTTGACCGAATGTATTGAGGTTAATAAGTCTTTTTGTGATAAAAGATGTTTATTCATGTATGTACAAGACAACGAACTATTCAGACGTATTTTCAGCTCTGTAGAAACTAATTCTGTCGACATACGATTACGACTAGGGGTGGCACATTACTATTACTGTTATCAGTAATACAAATATTGTATATATTACTTTTACTGGTAACACTAATACTGCTAGTATTACTGTTACTGGTACTAGAAATACATGGAAGACAGTAACAGTAATATATACCTTTTAGTATTACTTTCCTCGGTAATGTAATACATGAGTAATAGTAATACTGCCACCCCTAATTACGACTATCATTGAATAAATGTTTCATTTGAGAAAAAACTCTCTTCACAGACGCATTGCCGCACGAAATCGAATACTGAACCAACATGATAAATAAAACGAGCTAACATCGATAAGGGATCGATGGTATATTCGACACTAGCATCTTCAATTACATTTAATGTATTTATCAAAGATGATTTAAAGCAGGGTTCTAAATAAAGGTTTTGTACCGAACTTTTGTATGACTTATAGGATCTTACCTCGATGCCGGGTTACCTTTTCAAGGGTCCGCCATTGTTTATGTAACTATTTCATGCTTTTGTAGAAGAAACAAGATCTTAGTAGATCCGTCCCTGTCTCGCAGAAATGTGCGGTTTTCTAGTGAAGAAATTCTCTATATTTTGAATTTCTCTAGGTATATCTTGTGCAGTTCCAGTTTCATCATTTCCTTCGTTACTTCTGTTTTAACATGATGCAGAAAATCTTTTTACTGATTTTAGAGTTATATTATAAGAAAATATTGTTAAATTCAGAATAATGAAAAACAAGTAGGTAGAAGACATAATACGAAAACATCAACAACAAGTGGCTACGAAAAAGGGAAAAACAACTAATACCATTAAATTCTTCCAATTGATTCAAAAACGTCCCTCGATGACATAGATAACAAATCCTAATACTGAATTCCTTTTCTTTGAAAGACGAATAGATAAAAGAACGGGGCAGGAGCTGCGTGAAATTAGACGTAGGTAAGTTCTTTACATACCGATGATGCCGATTATGTCTTACCTGTATCCTAATACAGACTCATAATAAGTTTATTTTATGTTGGTTGATTATCAGAATTTTGTGCAATACAAGATTTTCTCCTGCTTTTCACCTCTGATTCGTAAGAGTCTGTATTGAAAAGAACAAAAGAAACTTCGAAAATATAATCATGATAGTATATATGATGATGCGAGTAACTGGTTGCTTGTTCGTGTTGTTTTCATATTTTAAATATATAACATTTTAAATCTATATGAATGCTTTTTAGTTTCGTGCTAAGTTTTTTAAAAGAAGTTCATTTGCGATTAAGTTTTTCTTTATAAGTAAATATCTAAACTTATATCTCTCATATAGATAATGAAAGTTTTTCTAATTAACGTCGATCCAAGGACGAGGCTGTAACGAAAATGGTTGATCAATCTGGCGTTAAACAGAACGTCTAGAGTGATTGTTTATCATATATCATCGAAGGAAATTGATCTTGATTATATTCAAAATATTGCTCTTACATATAATTCTTACATTTTACGTCTGAATGGAAAAATTATGCATGATTTTGATTAATCAGCTATTCGTAGAATTGAGTGTGGAAATGAGGAAATGACAAGTAATATTTCCTCGGAGTTTAAAAGTAGTATGTCGATGGAAGATCGTCAAAATTTAACGTAAAGGATATAATTGTTTCAGAATTCAAACTAAAATTCATAGAAAATTTTAAAAATATCTCAAAAGAAAAACATGATTTAGGCAATTGCCTGAAATATTCTATGCAAATCTTATTTCTAAACGTAAAAACAGTTTTATGAATCTTTTATCGATATTTCAGAACAACGTGAAAAATTATTAAGAACACACCATCAGGAAGACACTTTCCAAAACAAATGGTTTCTCGACGTCCAAAATCCATTTCTCTATTAACTGTATTGAAAATCAAATGAGAAAAACGTTTGCCTACTTGAAAATTAAAGAAGATTGCGAAAGATTGCACATCGAATATAGAATGGACAATTAAAAATATTGACCTAAAAGTGCATTCTGAAAAAATACACAAGCTTTTTGATTTCAAAACGTATTATCCGGCAGAAATATCTTTACCTTTGAATCGCAATGCTCTTCCGGAAAATTCTCCTATAAAAACAGCTTTTTCAAATGGATATGGAAAATCACTTATTCACGATTTAGAAAAACGTTATGAACAATAATCGAATAAGTCAAAAATCATGAAAATTAAAGGAGAATATTTTTTCTTTTTTCGGAAAAAATCTGTAAAAATTGTTGAACTTTTACAGTTTTTAGAATTCGATTACCAACAAGAATTACTTAATCTAGACAATGGTTCGAGTGAAATTAAAGCTGATTTATTAGATTGGAAATAAGAACATAGAAAATTGAATGTCCAAAAAATGAATTGGAAAAAATTAAAAAGGAAATCAGATTAAAAGAAACATTGAAAAGAGTTTAGAAACAAAAATTTTAGAAACACTTGCCGATAACTCAACTACTGTTGGGTATTTACAAATAGTACATAATGAGTTTAACTTAAAACCAAATATTAATTTATCTACTTAATAAGATTATGATCGATTGTTATTTAACATTTGAACAAATTAATATTAAACTATTCGAAAAAATACATAGAAACAGCACTTTAATAAAACACGGAACAGATCAAGCCAATATGTTTCATTTGCACCAAGTAATAAGAAAAAAACTTGTCCAACCGAAACATTTCTTTTATCACTGTTAAATGATCTTGTAAAAATGAGTGAATTTAATTCATTTATTATTGAACAAAAAAGATGAATATTATGCGAAAATGGCCTATTATTTAATTCAAGAAACATTCATTCTACAACTGAAACGAGTGCTATCATTAATTGTTAAATATAAATGATTGGATTTACACAATGATAAAGAAGAAAGAGAAAGAATGTTACAAAATATTATTACAAATACTTGAATACAAAGAAGTTAAATTGAGAGAGATTTTAGCTACTATTCGAGAGACAGAATAATCGTCTAATTCGCCATACTCAATATTTCCTTTTAGAAGGTATGTTTGAAGATACAGAAAACAGTTTGAGAATTAACAAAAACTTTTACTATGCAAGTTAAGAAACATAGTTTTTAGTGACTAAACTTGCGATAAACAAACATCTGGATAACCGTTAACAACCATCAATTAATTTTCTTAACCGATGTCCTGGTTCGATTCTCAGTCGAGGCATGCTACTATTACAAAATGCGGCTCTAGAATAAATAACTAGTTACTTTTACCAAAGGTAACTCTAGCGTCTTTTAACTATTCAATTGGATCAAATACGAATTTTTAAAATCAAAAGAAACTACAGCCCAACCAACTACTGATATATCAAAAACACGCCCAGCATTGATCGATGAACCTTTCCATAAGCCCTACGAACGCAACGACCAAAACCTCGCGGCACAGTCATCCAGCTAGTGAAGAATGCCAATGGCACTAGATCATATTTCACTTTCGTCACCGCAATGCTCATCTGACGAAGACGACGTCACAAACAACTGACGCAATCATGATGCAGCTAGTGAAGAATGCCAATCAGATGATATTTCACTTTCGTCACAGCAATGCTCATCTGACGACGACGACGTCAAAAAACAGACTCAATCATGATGCAGCTAGCGAAGAGTGCGAAATATTACACAATTCATCTATCTCCAAGATGTTCCATGGCAACAGCTGACATTTCACTTTGGTCGCAGCACTGCTCATCTGAGGACGACGAGGTCACCAACAACTGACTGCATCACGATGCAGCTAGTGAAGAATGCCAATTATGAGACTATTGATCTATCTCCTAGAACTTCCGTGGCACCAGATGACATTTACCGTTCGTCACACCCATGCTCATCGGTTGACCAGGAGGTCTTCAACAACTGACTGAACCACGAGGCAGCTAGTGAAGAATGCGAAACATTACACTTTTCATCTATCTCCTAGATGTTCCACGGCACCAGATGACATTTCACTTTCGTCACAGCAATGCTCATCTGACAACGACGTCACCAAGAACTGACCCAATCACGCTGCAACTGATGAAGAATGCGAAAGGTTACACTTTTCATCTTTCGCTTAGATAACCATGGCACCAGATGACATTTCACTTTCGTCACAGCAATGCTCATCTGACGACGACGAGGTTACCGCTTACTGACTCAATCACGGTCCAGCTAGCGAAGAATGCCAACCAGCAGACTATTGCTCTACCTCGCAGATGTTCCATGGCACCAGATCATATTCCACTTTTTTCACAGCAATGCTACATAAATTCTATTTTCTGTTTTTTTCTGTTATTGTTGTATGAAGCACTTCAAAGATTTTTTTTGTATGTTGAATTTTATGAAAATAAACTTTAATTGTTGTGTTAACT